CGGCATCACAATGGGCCAAAAGGCCTAAGTGGATCCACTAGGGATCACCGGTATAACCTAACCTAACCTAACCTAAGACTATACTCAAATATTATACAATGGATAAGATAACTCTGCTGTTGGAAACTAATTGTTGAACTGATAAATAAATTGAATTATTTAAGTATTTATACTAAATTTTGCCCTTTAAACTGATTGCTAAAAGGTCAATATACGAGTATAGAAATTCGGAAATTGTTGTAATACATTTGACTCATTCTTTAAAATAAGATAATCGGTAAAATTCGTTTTGGATTTGCAATTCAACCCGCTCTCATATAAACCGTTAACAACAACGGCCTTGTTTTTATCTATAAAAACGATCAGTTTAACAAGTGCAATGAAGATTGTAACACATAGTCGAATTTCTAACATTTTGTACAGTACTATAAACGAATAAAATCACTTTATATTAAAAACCTTAATGGAACATATCAAAAATATGCTAGTGTATTATCAAGTACATAGATCACTTCCTTTTAATTTAAATTTTATTTCCATATGATTTTCTTCTATTTTTCTTTTTATATAACGTATAAAAGTATTTTTCATTTCACTTGACAATCACTACAATAATTTTTACTTCTAATTATACTGATAAAATACGAGTAGGACAAATTTCCCACCAATTGTTTGCAATATTATGTTAGAAATAATATTATTATTTTCTCTTATATGGTAGGAGCTTGACTAAAAATCATTATTATATTATTATTGACTACATGTTTGTTATACTGGCTTGATTTTCAATATTTTTAAAGAGATTTTCATTAACATTTTTTTTTGGAATCGTTTTTTCATTAGCAAACATATTTTTCTCCAGAAATAACATTAGAATATTATTATCAAAATATTTCAAACAGTTTGGTCCTTGCGTTAATGACAGTCTCTTATATAGAAATGCTGCAGTTTAGGTCTATTATACAAGTAGAATAGTAGAATATAAAAATGCTTGATATCTTTTCATACTCCAAACTATATTTGTAAAATTTTTCAAATATTTTATTTTATATAAAATATGAAGTAGAGATTGTATTTAATATGTGCACAAAAAATAATTTGTCAAAAGTGTTTAATGGAATACTTTTGAGAATTTTATGTTCTCTATATTTTATACTAATTTGATTCCATAATCTTAACAAGAGAGTTCTCTACTTATGCTAACATATGAACTGTTATGTGAAGAAATTATATAAAGGAATCGTACAATGCTGATGCTTATATTGCTTCACAAAAATATTATTGCATAAATAATTTATTGACTGATCTTCAAATTTAATACAACAAAGACGATTTCAAAACAAACAGACTCAAAATGTAAATGCAAACAAGCTATTTTCTTAAAATTTCTACAAAATATTTATAATTTATTCTCTAAAAACATATAATGTTTAAAATATTTGAGCGTGTTTCAAATACTTCCTAATACGGAGACGTTAAATAAGATAAATAATCTAAATTAATATATTGGTAACTTCTTCATAGTTTATTCTCGTTAAATTAGTGAAGTTTTGTTTCAGTTTGGAACGAATTTACAACAAATCTATAATTATATTGACTAATAAATTGACTAATACTTAAAAAAAACAAAGAACCAAATAGCTATTTTTCACCCTTCTCTTAAAAGTTTTGTAATTATTGGGTACTTAGTAAATGATATACAGATGTAAACCACTTATTCGAAAGCAATTTCCATTTCAATATTGTAATCAAAAATTTAACAAATTAAACACTATATCTTATATCGTAAACATTTTCAAAGTAAAACATTTTTATTCCTATATGAATACTCGTATTTATTATTTACATATTAAACAACTATTTTAACAGTTTGCACTGATATATATTCTACAGTTTTTCAATATGAAATTCTTTTGCATTTAATGATGTTGTTTAACATTAACGTAACTGCTTCCATGACCACCATGTCCATGACCATGACCATGTCCGTGACCATGATCGTGACCTCCATCATGACCACCGTGGGCATGTCCGATTTTATGGACCTTAGCATTGAATCCACTGTGTTTATCAGCAGTGTAGTCTACAACACGAGTAGTGCCATCAGCTTCCTTAAGTGAGTAACTACCTATAAAAACAATGTAAATAATTATATTATGTGAATATGTTAATAAAATTATATACAAATGTACTTCATTACCTTTCACATGATCACCATCACGATGTTCCCATTGACTTTTTTTATCTCCATGATGTTTATCTTCAACACCATAACTGAACTCATATTTAGGATAATGGTGAGCTTCGTAACCTCCATGATGTCCTCCATCGTGACCGCCATCATGACCACCATGTCCACCATCATATCCACCATGTCCGCCGTCATGTCCTCCACCATGCGAAGTTATAACATAACTGCTATGTTCATGATGGCCATCATGACCACCATGACCGCCATGACCACCGTGACCACCGTGTCCATGTGAATCGTCGTGCTTTGTTACAACACTATAACTAACAGAACCACCATGACCACCACCATCACCACCACCACCATGATGATGTCCTGCTGAAGCCAATCCAACAAGTACAAAAGCTAATCCACCAATGCTTAGTAGTTTCATTATAAAATTTTTTGATTTTAAGACTATACTCAAATATTATACAATGGATAAGATAACTCTGCTGTTGGAAACTAATTGTTGAACTGATAAATAAATTGAATTATTTAAGTATTTATACTAAATTTTGCCCTTTAAACTGATTGCTAAAAGGTCAATATACGAGTATAGAAATTCGGAAATTGCTGTAATACATTTGACTCATTCTTTAAAATAAGATAATCGGTAAAATTCGTTTTGGATTTGCAATTCAACCCGCTCTCATATAAACCGTTAACAACAACGGCCTTGTTTTTATCTATAAAAACGTTCAGTTTAACAAGTGCAATGAAGATTGTAACACATAGTCGAATTTCTAACATTTTGTACAGTACTATAAACGAATAAAATCACTTTATATTAAAAACCTTAATGGAACATATCAAAAATATGCTAGTGTATTATCAAGTACATAGATCACTTCCTTTTAATTTAAATTTTATTTCCATATGATTTTCTTCTATTTTTCTTTTTATATAACATATTAAAGTATTTTTCATTTCACTTGACAGTCACTACAATAATTTTTACTTCTAATTATACTGATAAAATACGAGTAGGACAAATTTCCCACCAATTGTTTGCAATATTATGTTAGAAATAATATTATTATTTTCTCTTATATGGTAGGAGCTTGACTAAAAATCATTATTATATTATTATTGACTACATGTTTGTTATACTGGATTGATTTTCAATATTTTTAAAGAGATTTTCATTAACATTTTTTTTGGAATCGTTTTTTCATTAGCAAACATATTTTTCTCCAGAAATAACATTAGAACATTATTATCAAAATATTTCAAACAGTTTGGTCATTGCGTTAATGACAGTCTCTTATATAGAAATGCTGCAGTTTAGGTCTATTATACAAGTAGAATAGTAGAATATAAAAATGCTTGATATCTTTTCATACTCCAAACTATATTTGTAAAATTTTTCAAATATTTTATTTTATATAAAATATGAAGTAGAGATTGTATATAATATGTGCACAAAAAATAATTTGTCAAAAGTGTTTAATGGAATATTTTTGAGAATTTTATGTTCTCTATATTTTATACTAATTTGATTCCATAATCTTAACAAGAGAGTTCTCTACTTATGCTAACATATGAACTGTTATGTGAAGAAATTATATAAAGGAATCGTACAATGCTGATGCTTATATTGCTTCACAAAAATATTATTGCATAAATAATTTATTGACTGATCTTCAAATTTAATACAACAAAGACGATTTCAAAACAAACAGACTCAAAATGTAAATGCAAACAAGCTATTTTCTTAAAATTTCTACAAAATATTTATAATTTATTTTCTAAAAACATATAATGTTTAAAATATTTGAGCGTGTTTCAAATACTTCCTAATACGAAGACTTTAAATAAGATAAATAATCTAAATTAATATATTGGTAACTTCTTCATAGTTTATTCTCGTTAAATTAGTGAAGTTTTGTTTCAAATTAAAACGAATTTACAACAAATCTATAATTATATTGACTAATAAATTGACTAATACTTTAAAAGAACAAAGAACCAAATAGCTATTTTTCACCCTTCTCTTAAAAGTTTTGTAATTATTGGGTACTTAGTAAATGATATACAGATGTACTCCACTTATTCGAAAGCAATTTCCATTTCAATATTGTAATTAAAAATTTAACAAATTAAACACTATATCTTATATCGTAAACATTTTCAAAGTAAAACATTTTTATTCCTATATGAATACTCGTATTTATTATTTACATATTAAACAACTATTTTAACAGTTTGCACTGATATATATTCTATAGTTTTTCACTATGAAATTCTTTTGCATTTAATGATGTTGTTTAACATTAACGTA